CTGATTTATCAGTGGCTGGTGCCTCAGTAGCTGGAGCTTCTGTAGCTGGAGCCTCAGTGGCTGGAGCATCAGTAGCAGCAGATCCAGAGTATGCATCTTCTACAGATGGGGCTGGTTTATCAGTGGCTGGAGCTTCTGTAGCTGGAGCTTCGGTGGCAGAAGCTTCGGTGGCAGAAGCTTCGGTGGCTGAAGCTTCGGTGGCTGGAGCTTCAGTGGCTGGAGCTTCAGTGGCTGGAGCTTCAGTGGCTGGAGCTTCAGTGGCTGGAGCATCAGTAGCAGCAGATCCAGAGTATGCATCTTCTACAGATGGGGCTGATTTATCAGTGGCTGGTGCCTCAGTAGCTGGAGCTTCTGTAGCTGGAGCCTCAGTGGCTGGAGCATCAGTAGCAGCAGATCCAGAGTATGCATCTTCTACAGATGGGGCTGATTTATCAGTGGCTGGTGCCTCAGTAGCTGGAGCTTCTGTAGCTGGAGCCTCAGTGGCTGGAGCATCAGTAGCAGCAGATCCAGAGTATGCATCTTCTACAGATGGGGCTGATTTATCAGTGGCTGGTGCCTCAGTAGCTGGAGCTTCTGTAGCTGGAGCCTCAGTGGCTGGAGCATCAGTAGCAGCAGATCCAGAGTATGCATCTTCTACAGATGGGGCTGATTTATCAGTGGCTGGTGCCTCAGTAGCTGGAGCTTCTGTAGCTGGAGCCTCAGTGGCTGGAGCATCAGTAGCAGCAGATCCAGAGTATGCATCTTCTACAGATGGGGCTGATTTATCAGTGGCTGGTGCCTCAGTAGCTGGAGCTTCTGTAGCTGGAGCCTCAGTGGCTGGAGCATCAGTAGCAGCAGATCCAGAGTATGCATCTTCTACAGATGGGGCTGATTTATCAGTGGCTGGTGCCTCAGTAGCTGGAGCTTCTGTAGCTGGAGCCTCAGTGGCTGGAGCATCAGTAGCAGCAGATCCAGAGTATGCATCTTCTACAGATGGGGCTGATTTATCAGTGGCTGGTGCCTCAGTAGCTGGAGCTTCTGTAGCTGGAGCCTCAGTTGCTGGAGCTTCGCTGGCTGGAGCTTCGGTGGCTGGAGCTTCGGTGGCTGAAGCTTCAGTAGCAACTGATCCAGAGTATGCATCTTCTACAGATGGGGCTGATTTATCACTGGCTGGTGCCTCAGTAGCTGGAGCTTCGGTAGCTGGAGCCTCAGTAGCAGCTTCAGTAACGGGAGCCTCGGTAGCTGGAGCTTCAGTAGCAGCGGATCCAGAGTATGAATCTTCAACAGAAGGTGCTGAATCATGAGATGCTGCGGCTTCTGGGGTTGAAGCTTCGGTGACTGGTGCCTCAGTGACTGGTGCTTCGGTGGCTGGAGCTTCAGTAGCAGCTGATCCAGAGTATGCATCTTCTACAGATGGGGCTGATTTATCGCTGACTGGTGCCTCAGTGACTGGAGCCTCGGTGGAAGGAGCTTCGGTGGCTGGAGCTTTAGTAGCTGGAGCTTCAGTAGCTGGAGCTTCAGTTGCTGGAGCTTCGGTGGCTGGAGCTTCAGTAGCAGCTGATCCAGAGTATGCGTCTTCTGCAGATGGGGCTGATTTATCAGTGGCTGGTGCCTCAGTAGCTGGAGCTTCTGTAGCTGGAGCCTCAGTAGCAGCTTCAGTAACGGGAGCCTCGGTAGCTGGAGCTTCAGTAGCAGCGGATCCAGAGTATGCATCTTCTACAGATGGGGCTGATTTATCAGTGGCTGGAGCTTCTGTAGCTGGTGCCTCAGTAGCTGAAGCTTCGGTGGCTGAAGCTTCGGTGGCTGGAGCTTCAGTGGCTGGAGCTTCAGTGGCTGGAGCTTCGGTAGCTGGAGCTTCGGTGGCTGGAGCTTCAGTAGCAGCTGATCCAGAGTATGCGTCTTCTGCAGATGGGGCTGATTTATCAGTGGCTGGAGCTTCGGTAGCTGGAGCTGTGGTAGATGGAACCTCGGTGGATGGTGCTTCGGTAGCAGCTGATCCAGAGTATGATTCTTCTACAGATGGAGCTGATTTATCAGAAGTGGATGCTTCAGTGGCTGGTGCTTCGGTAGCTGGAGCTTCGGTGGCTGGAACTTCTGTGGCTGGAGAGGTAGCATAACTGTCTTCTGTTGGAGTAACAGGCTTCTTGTTATCAATAGTTTTTGTGGCTGCTGTGTTGTCTTCACCATAACCGAGATCTGAAGGAGATGCAGCTGGCCCAACTTCGGGAACATCTGCGAAAGAGGTAGTTAGATGAGTTTTTGGAGTACTAGTGTATATGGTCTGATGAGGTTTATATTTCGAGGTAGGAGTTGGTTTTAGTTTTCGAGTACTGGATGCCCCCAATGATGTGTCAGAATGGGGTCGAGCAGTACTGGTTAGAGGTAAAAGCGATTTTGTGGTTTTTGATTTGACCTTCGTTGTCTTCGTTACAGGCGACGACTTTGTAGTTTGAACTATTGAAGTCTTAGTGGTTTTGGCGGAAGTTTTAGTCTGCTTAGTTTGTGTAGGCATAGTCGTCATTGATATAGTTTGAGTTTGTTTACTAGTTGAGAGAGTTGGCGCTTTTTTGGTTGTTTCAGAAGGTGTATTCGTAGATATCGAGATGGTTGGCATCGTGGTAGAGGTTGAATCAGTGGATTGCGATTGCGAAGTGGTTAAGGTAGTATCAGTTGATAAACTTGCAGCTTGAGTTGTAGTTGGTAAAGCAGTTTGGGGTGATTCTGTTATTAGATCAGGTATTGATTGCGTTGGCAGTATTGATATTGAAGTCGGAAAATCGGAAGTTGGAATTTCAAACGTAGTTGATTCAGGGATTGGCTGTTCAGAAGTCGGTAAATCAGGTGTTAAGGTTGTTATTGCGTTTGTTACTTGTTCTTTTGTGCCTGCATACAAAATAATCGAATTGAATGTATGATAGATATAAGAAAAAGTAAAACAACATACTCTCAGAGCCGGACTCGTCTTGGATTTCTCTTCTGAACTTGAACACATCCAAGAAATTGTCACCGTTTATCTCCTTGATGGGGAAGATTCCAGTTGGCTTAAAAAGTTGAAAAAGTGATTGACAAGTTAGAGGTATTGTTACAGTGTTGATAGCTAATTCCCCATTGATTGCTTGTACCTTTTTCAGCCATACAAGCGTTTTCTGAATACGATCTCTGTGGGCGAAAAAAATATTCAATACATGTCTTGCGAGAACTTACTTCAATGGCGTTGGGGCAGAGTAAACTCCGACAATCAGTATCAACACGAATGCCCACCTCATTCTATAATGAATGTATACGATATAATTAAACTCGACTAAAAGAAATAAAATGAGAAATAGGAATGTATAAGAGGTAAAGAGAAGAATTCCTGCTAAATGTTTAAGCATTTGTCCTTTTATAGTCAAAGGCTGAGGTTTTTTTGTACTGAATGGATTGGGCATCCTCCACCCCCTCACGATTCCTGCCCATATCTATCGTTTGAAAGATGTTCTTCGTTTTTCTAAGATGATGAAACTTGCTGAAACTTTTTGTATTATGTGTTTTCAGCGTGAAGCTTTACCTATTTGAAACATCACAATAGTTTTTGGGAATAGTACAAGATTTTCAACAACAACACTACGGAAGTGATAAGAAGCAACTGAGAGAGAAGAGAAGAAAGCATAAGAAGCATAAGATAACTAAAGGAAAATAAACAAAATGTCCTGCATGAAAAAATAGAAGAAAATCAAGAAAATGGATTTCATTATCTCAACTGGTTCGATAGTAAAGCTGTAAGTTAGTACGTTTTTGTGACATATTTGTGGCAAAGAGAAACAAGACCGATTTTGTTTCGATAAAAAAGAATTATAATTGAGTTTTTATCTTTTGAAATCTCTTGAATTTCGCTTTTTCTTTCTTGATTCCTATTTCTACAGGATACAAGCCAGATAGAAGGTCAGTCACAGAGAGGGAGAGGGACAACGATGACTATGGTGAGCTTTCATTTGTGTACTTTTATCTTTCAGCAATAAAATATTCAAATTCATCCTGACTGTTTATGGTTCTCAACGACTTTTTTCAACAGTTTTCGTAGCAAACGACGTGGCAGAACAGCTTCCAGACGTCATCAGAACCATCCAAGTGCGTCAAAGTGAAAGTGAAAATGTACGTTTGAGGGCTAACATCATCATCAATCTACCTATGAATTACCATAAGTGGATGAAGGAGAGAAAGGAAGCATTTTTTTATTCTTGCTGACAAACTCTCAATGACAAATGATGAAAAGACTCGAGGCATTTCCTGTATCAATTATGGGCAAACAGGAATCTACTTGAAGAGGATCAAGAGCTGATTGCGTTTTTCTTCGAATTCCATTTGTATGTTCGTTTAGTGTTTGCCCTAATCAAATCAACCTTGCTCGTTACACCCATTTGTGTTATGATTGAAGTTTATATTGTGAATTCATAGAATCATTGATGTCTTATGAGTTGTATGAAACAACCTAGAGCGTAACGGGATAAAATGTCTCCAAATGGCTTGATAACCTGAATAAAGTTTGATGAAATCTTCTATAGAACTGTGATCTGACTGGATATATGCATCTCAGTCGATCTGAATGGCAAAAACGTTTCGCAAAAACGTTGACAAACGGCAGTTTCCAGCTAGTTTGGCAATCATCAATAGACATCAGTAATCATCTATTATATCATTTTTTATCTTTTTAACTTCTTATCCCAACATCAAAAGTGCAAAAAGTTCATAAAAATGATAGAAAGTCTAGGAGAAAGTTGAACGTCTCCTACTAAACGGTTATTAAGCGGAAAACAATCGACTATAACCGGATTTACATCTGGAAGCATTTTTTAGTGTTGTCTGCAATTCTACTAACCAGCCGATTTCGCGTTCAAATTCTTTGTTAAGGTCAGTGGATTTAGATATAGACTCATGCTTATAAGGTTACATGAAGAATCTGAATGATCGGAGGAATTCGCTGGTGGGCAATTGTTACTCAACGCAAATTTGCGGTTTGTTTTCAAAAATAAAAAGTTATACGAAAAACTCATCGTATCTACAAACTGAGGTACTTTCTTGTTTTTAATCCTTGTTTTTCAAAGCATTTAAAATGCTGTACGACTGGAAATATTCCTCGTTCAGTCCGGATAGATCGTTATCTTTATACATTCATAAGTTTCGAAATGAACTATGAAGCGAGGACTAAAAAAACATTAATTGTCTTCTTAGTATTCTTCTGTTTTATATAACAAATCTTAATCAAAATAAATTGTTCTTTTACTCTCGTTTCGTTTCTTTCACTTAACGCACTTGATTGCAGAAAATAAGAAAAGAAAAGTATCTCTTTGCCTTTACCACGTGATAGTTGGTGTTAATTAAAGGTTTTTGAGGTCAAAGACTCTTGGCCATTATCATTTATCGATGTGCAGACGTGGAGAACGGTTGGTTTTGTCTGGTGCGGTCAGTTGGTTATCTCTTTTATTGTTGAGTTTTATATGTTTTTAACTTATCAGTTTTACAAACTTGCTGCTTGTTTTCTCTTCTGTTAACTTATTAAATGTGAAGACGGCGATGATTTCATGTTATTTGGATGAATAAAAATGATGATTTAATGTGTTTGATTGCATTTTTCTTTTTAATTGCTCTTTGAACTAGTGGATGAAACGTGATTTTGACTCTTCTTTTCCATTGAAGAATCTAACATGAGTAAAATCTTCCATTCACCAACTGTTTTAACTTTATCACTTCTTTTGCCTATCAACAGGCGGTTTATTAAACTGAAATGTCTGCCTGGCAGAAGTTTCAAAATGAACATGTGATTGATCGAGCAACCTTTCTCGGAACTACTTTATGTTTCCGTTATTATCCAACTGTCTGTGAATTGTTCTTTGTTGGTGTTATAGATGAGAATCTCATAAATAGTTCTTCTCAATCCGTTATTCGTTTTATTTTGGCAATTACCGTACCACGAAATCTATTGGAGAGTTTTATGTATTTAGAATGGCTGCAACCAAGAAAGAATTCGAAGGTGTTCATGAAGCTTTGAAACAGCTACCTGCCGATGTTCAGGATGAAACTCACAGAATTCTTTTTGGACGGAAATACCAGTAGGAATTGTAAAACGCCAGTATTGCAAACAAGTCAATTTTTCAGAGAGCTTGATGTCAGTGCTGAAGTCAAGGATATCGCTTTGAAGCATGACTTTGAAATCAAAGGTTATATCATTTCAGCTCAGTCTGAACAACTCCGCTCACCCAGACTAGTGAGCACAAACTTTTAATTTTCAATTCCTTCATCATTTTTTTAGACAAGGGTTGCAGCCATTCAAAATGCAATTGTACTTCCAACTACAGCTCCAGTTGCTGAACAACGGGATGCTATTCTCCAGCGAGTTGGACTAATGATTGAAGCTGCCGCTCAGGCTGGAGCTAACATTGTGTCACTTCAAGAAGCTTGGAGTAAGAAATTAATGTTTTTGATTCAAGCAAGAGTTATTCCTCAGATATGCCATTTGCCTTCTGTACACGGGAACGACTTCCTTGGACTGAGTTCGCGGAGCCAGCTGAGGATGGCCCTACCACCAAATTCTTATCAAAGGTTTCACTTCAAAAGCAGAATATGTCTGTACTAGACTGTTTTCAAGTTGTCGAAGAAGTATGGTATCGTTATAATATCTCCAATCCTTGAAAGAGATGAATCCAAAGACGATGTCATTTGGAACACAGCCGTTTTCATTTCACACACAGGCAATTTCATGGGGAAAACTCGTAAAAATCATATCCCTAGAGTTGGGGATTTCAATGAAGTTAGCTTTGAAATTGCAGTTACACTGATATACTATTGTTTCTAGTCAACTTATTACATGGAATCGACTCTTGGTCACCCTGTCTTTGAGACTCCATTTGGTAAACTTGCTGTTAACATTTGCTACGGACGTCATCATCCTCAAAATTGGATGATGTATGCTCTTAACGGAGCAGAAATAATCTTCAATCCCTCTGCAACTGTAGGAGGGCTCAGGTAGTAATGAAATTATGATCGAGTAAGGTGTTTGTGTTATAGTGAACCTCTCTGGTTCATTGAAGCTCGAAATGCCGCTATCGCTAATCACTGCTTCACTGTAGGAATCAACAGAGTAGGTACAGAAGTGTTCCCCAATGAATTCACTTCTGGTAATGGACAACCCGGTATGTTATCACTCTATCCCGAACTTATTTTCTGATTTAAGCGCACAAAGACTTTGGTCACTTTTATGGTAGCAGCTACATTGCTGCTCCAGATGGAAGCAGAACTCCTGTAACTTTTTTCTTTAGTAAATTTAATCATTTTCCCCAATTTCAGAGCTTGTCACGTGTAAGAGAAGGAGTCTTGATTGCCGAGATGGATTTGAATCTTTGTCGCCAAACGAAAGATAGCTGGGGATTCAGGGTTGTTTCCTAGAATTTGAATAATATCAACAATCTCGATTTTACCAGATGACACAACGATTGGATATGTATGCAAAGAGCTTCACAGCAGCTGCAGATCCATCGTACAAACCAGACATTCGAAGAGAAGTTTAAAAGAATTCAAAAACTACTAACAAACTAATTGTGATATGCCGAAGGTATTTTTATACTTAATAACTTTGTATGAATAAAAGATTCTTACCATTACCAGTACTTCTATATTTTCCCATCAAACACAAATGGTGGAAGACTCACCGCTCTCTCTTATCTTGATCTAAACCATCGAACTGGCTCCGACGAGCAGCTAAGTGATGAAAAACTGTAGAAGATCACAACATCAAAAAGAGCAGCATTGCCTGGAGCGTCAGCTAGAAAAAAAAACTGGGGGAAAAAAGCTAGTATTTTTGACTTCGCTCTCTAGATTGTATCTGTGTGCGAGAGAACCAAAGTTGAAACAATGAAACTGATTCAATTTGGTCAAGAAAAGATTTTATCGACGTGCTTGTTGTTTTCATTATTCACTAGCGAAAAGATTAAACGGTTGGGAATATGGTTAGTAAAGTATGAAGAGCTCAATGAAGTCTGTTATTTTTGTCTCTAGAATTTTTACGCTGTATTTCGCAAAACAAAACCGCGAGTTTCAGTTTGATCACTACGCCATTTGTATTTTGGTTGTATGGTGAGATTATGAGAAGTTTTCAATTGTAGTAAGACAAGCCATACACCGATTTGTGCATTCTGACACTTTCTGCCAACTTACAATGGTATTGATTGATGTGGACTAAGTTCATATGGTCATGACTGTTTGAAATACTCTTTGAATCGCCAGAAAGTTTCTCTCACATTGCTTTCACCAGTTAGTGTTATGAATGAATTAAGGGTGTGGCAGTGTGAGATTGAGAGATTCCGGGGTGAGGTTTTTACCATGTGATGAATTGAATTGTTTTGAAGTTGTTTTACCTATTGCATAGCTTGTGTTTGTCCTTTTGATCTGTTCGGTTCGTTCCGGGATAGATATTTGAGGTTTGCTTTGCAGAGAGTGAAAAAAGCAGATTCTGGTCTGAACGAAATTCGTTCTCACCTTCTGAGATAGTTGCCAAGTTCATACATAATGTTCCACAGAATGCTCTATATTCTATATTCAACCGAAACAGTTAGGTAAGTTTGACCCAAAGAGAATTAAAAAATACATGTTACCAGAGAAGTTTTCTCGATTTACTCAATTTTCCAAGGATTTAGACTGAATTCAACCATGCTTGTACACAACCGCTCCATAAGTAAACCGTGTATTGAGGAATGAAGTTGGTGTGAGCAAAGGCAGGACCGCTCCACACGTAAACCATTCGTTAGAGAATGAAACTGTTTTGTTTTCATTTTCTTCGCTCCAATAAAAAATGAGCGGTGTCCTCCTGCA